CCCGATCCAACATGATCCATTAAAATTAGTATTGGGGTGAGTGATAAACGGGTCAGGTAGTTAACGAGTTAGCCTGTTAATCATCCGTTAAATAACGGGTCATTTGGATGAACTCACGAAACCCGTTAACCACCCATTAAGATCCATTATTGAGGACTTTTGTGTAATTTCAATAGTCCTGATAGAAAACCTCAAGTTCCTCACGTCTCTCTCTCGCACCGTCGCATGCTCTCTAAGACATAACCAGTTTGCTATCTTTCTTAGTTATTCCATAAGTTTAAGCAGCTTTTATTTATTCAATTATTGTTTGTTCAATTCAATTTATTTTCCTGTTCATAACTTGTTTGCTGGTTTGTGCAAAATCTGAATCTTGCTATCTGTTTCTGGATATTTTCTCAATTGCCCAATTGGGTCGAGTTCTTCGTAACCCAGATTCCATTTTTCATTTCACTTTCAATTCTCTATAGAATCAGTTCCAAAATCTCACATCCCAGTTGGGTTTCTTGAAAATTTGAAAAATCAGACTTGGGATTGTTGAAAAGTTGAAACTTTATGGATACCCTTCTTGAAAGATATGATGTTTCCATGGAATTTTATTAAAATTTGGCTACTGACTTTGTCAAACTTTTGAATTCAGACCTTCCCAAAAGTTTCATTAAAATATGCAGTATGAAGATGTCTCTGCAGTTTTTTTTTTATGAAATGTAAAAAAGAAAAAGAAAAAAGGTTAACGGGTTGAAACGGGTGATCCGTTAGCTTAACTGGTTGAGTTCAGATGATCCGTTAGCTTAACGGGTCGGATTCAATCCGACCCAAACCCAATAAACCCGACCAGTTTACAGGTCTAGCCAGCGCAAAGTTTGCAATGAAAAACACAAGATCTTGATGGTGCCCTTTTTTAGCAAAAAAGGCGAACTGTTTTAAAGGATTATCTGCCACCTCACAATTTAACGTTAATTTTTACACTAACATTAAAATGTTATGTCCAATACATGAAGTGGCATATAACTCATAAAGAGTCGCATTAGCATTTCTCTTAATTCTCATATATGTCAGTGTATTCAAAAGAGGTGGCAGTCAATAACATGACGTCTCAATTCAACTAGATTTCTAACATGTAACGCAGCACCGCCCAAATTTCATGTGCGTCGCAAATACAGGGCACATCGTCCCCATTTAGCTCTCTGCTCGTCCCTGCTTAATGCTAAAGAGAGAACAAATTAAGATTCAAGAAACTGAATTGAGAAGTGCGCACGTACTCAAAAGCCCAAAGGATCGGAGCAAGATTCGGAGAGTGTTAAAAAAGCTTTACGTGGTTTATATGGTTTTGTGTAGTAAATCGAGAGAGTGCTGGTCTCCTCACGTGGAGGTGGGGAAGGGAACTAGGGTACGTTATTTTTGGCTTGGAGATCACAAATGCATGCCGTAGTCTTTGGCCGCCCTTTCTCTGCTAATCCAACACCTTTCCCTTCCATGCACATGCATGCATGCGTTCTTGTTTATGTTAACATTTGATTTGATGGGTTACCTGATTTGTATACGTTGAATCTTTATCATTCTATGTAACATTACATACCAGAATATTATACCTAATACAATGAACAGTACAGACTAAATTAGACATAGGAGGGAGCAGTTACTAATCGCCGATTAGCAAGGCCAGTCTTGAGTTTTTTGGTGATGGGGACAAACGCATAAAATGTGCATTCTCAATAAATGGATATGAATAAATATGTAAAAACGGTTGGAACTCAATCGAAGTTGGGTGGCTAGGCCCTCATGCCCATATTAATATTGAATCTAAAATTAATTAGCTACATGATGACAATATGTAGTTTATTTGAATTATTATACCTTTTTGGTATAATTTTGCAAGGCGCATTTCAAGTGTCATACCATTTAAACTTAACATGTTAACAACGGGTACATATTAGATGATGAAGCGCGTGTATAACTTGTTACGATACCTTATTAATTAGAATGTAAGCATTCCACGAAAAATTAATTGGCCATTGAACAAACATGCTCAATACTGTTAAAATTGTTAAGCAATGTTTCACTTTTCCCATGAAAAATTCACCCTCCGCACAAATCAAATTTACTACATACGTAATTTTGTACTTATACAATTACCAAAGATTGTAAAGTCTTTATCAAAACAGCCAGCTGGGCATAAGTTATAAAATAATGTTATGAAGATTAAAATTTTAAATTAAATTTACAAATCAAATAACGTATCATCAATAGTAACCTTAGTAGCATAACCAGCTTTCAGCATTTTCTAATGTGGCGTTTTCGTCCTGTCATACGTTGGAACATTGGCACAAACTTGATCTTATCCTTATCGGTACTCCAACGGATGAACCCAAATAATATCAGTCACATTTGCTCATGGGACCACAGGGTTCCTCAAGCCGACGGGGCCAGTTGTCATTGGTGGTATTATTGCGCTCATACTTCCATTCGGAAGAGGATATGCCTACATCTTAACCGTTCATCGTATATTGTGCGTTAGTTTTTATCAGATATTATTTGTATTTAATTTTATATAAAAAGTCAAATGATTCTGACCACACGATGCACGATGAATGATTAAGACGTGAGAGTCCATAGGATTCTCACAATTAGGGATGGCAACGGTTCGTTTTGGGGACGGAAATGCTATATCCATCTCTATAACCACGAAAATTAACTTTATCCATTCTTGTAACCATAATATTAACTATATTCATAACCGCCAATTAATCATCGGGTATTATTCATAATCATACACACCGGGCAACGGATTCTCGATCAGTTAACGGTTATACTCATCTTCGTCAATGCAAAAAATATATTCGTTCAATTGACGCATGATAATTTAGTAAATATTAATTTTATCATTAAATATTTGATGTATAAAATGATTTAATGAATAGATCTTATGGAGCATAAAAATTAAAGCTAAACATTTATAATGTTGCTGATCTTTGATATCTCCTATAAATACTATTGGTTTGGATTCTCATAGATTTTGATCCATATCAAAACTTTTTAACTTGCCTACAAAATGTAACTCACAGAGTGTAACTTTTGTATTCTCAAGAGAATAGATTTGGTGAATAATAAATATATATACATATATATTATATTTATATAAAAATACTATTATATTATTGTTTGGGCCCAAAAATATTGTTTTGGGCCGAGCTTAGATCTTTTTCGGCCCAGTATCGGATAGGCCGAGTTTAGATTCGTTCTCGGTCCAGAAGTCGTGTACAGGTGTTATTGATATTTAGTCCATGGGCCGCACAGTTAAATTTGGCTATATCATATGGGAAGTTGGAATGTAGACGAATTCTGTTTTGAAAAGGAGTTACAACAGAATTAGGATAATGAGATTGAATAAAGTTTGATAACAAGTTACATTCAAAGTCCTATTGGGAATAAGATTGGCCGAGATAAAAGAGTTCTAATCCGAGAGGGATTGAGACTCAATACAGGCTGGCCGCTATAAATAGAAGAGGTTGTGCATCATTCAAGCCTCTATTCAATTCAACACACAACTGCCCTGCGCAAATTCTCTCAACAACCTTGAGACTTTTTCCTTTTCTCTTTTCGCTGATACATCTTCAGTTTGGATAAACAGCACTGTAAAGGCAGTCGGTGATATCTTCAGTCCGCATAGATAGCATTGTCACCGTAAAACCACCCAATCTCGCAGCATCTTCAGCCGGCATAGATAGCACTGCGTCGAGGGTGACTGGTTATCTATCCAAGTCTTGGTCGAGAAGGATTTCCAAATCTTTGTTGGTCGAGGTCATCTCATTAGCCTTCTCGGCGAAGTGATGTGTTATAGTTTATTGGGCTTGACATATTGTACGCTGAGTTATTTTATGATTGGATACTCTTAAGTGGGATATAGAGTTCGGCATTATGACGGCCAAACCACGTTTATTGTTAAAACTTATATTTGCTTTGAGTATTTGTGCCTTTACACTTTGGTGTCGATTCGGCGTGAGTTTACTCTGAGATATCATCCTGTAACGAAAGATGACGATTTGTGAACTTCGTAAAAATAGTAGCCTTGTCTTCAGGTTTGAGAACCCAAGAGGCCGAGACGTGTTCCTTTTTTGGTCGTAATCGCAAGACGCAGAAGTCGGCCGCGCACCCAACGCAACATCAACATATTTTACTCCTTGGCCGACGAGTTGGCACGTCCCACATTCAACCGAATGACGCAGTTAGCTCATATATTACTCGGCATGTGCGCCACGTAGGCTTAATAGTTTTTAAGGTAAATAATTATATATAATTCGGTTCAAATTTTTGGACAGATACGGATTGTGAACCCCTATAACTATATCCAAAATCATAATTGAATATTATTCACGGTTTTTTCCCATATCTAAATTATAACCGAATTTTCATACCTAAATTCAATCTATTCGGGTGATTATCAACGGTTATCGGTATTAACGTTTAGAATTGTCATCCCACCACAATTTGAACGCG